TTTCTTCTCCAAACACTTCTACAACGATGGGTTTGAAAGATGCCAAACACGCAGCCTGAAAAAACCACTGGAGATTTACTCACGATGATTGAATTGGCGAAGTAATTCTTGATATTCTGCTCAATCTGCCCGTCTCCTCCAATCCATGGAGCTTCATCCTTCTTTTCGGACTGTAAGAAGGAAGTTGTCTTTCGGTTTAATTACTATATTGAGACAACATCACTGATATTTTCAACCTAGAGTGCATACCTGCAGCCATGGAAGAATATAGACGTAGTCATGCGTGTTCAATTTACTGTCGTAGGCGGCTTTCATGAACTCCTTCGACATATCACGTGTCGAGGAAAATAAGCAGATAATCACTAAAATTTGTTTCCACAAGAATGCTGAATTATGGACCAAACACTTTCCCCCAGACGGGACTTGTATAATCTTTCGTTTTCCAGGCAAATATACTCCCGCTTTCATTACCAAGGCACCATTCTCCCATGGCAAAAGTTATGGTTTAACTCGATTGAGTGCAAAAGCAGTGGAAGAGGAATTTCGTGCGGAATTGTGGTGGCTGAGCTCTGGGCTGTCGCGAATCCATTTCTGCCTCCTATGACTCTTCTGATTTTAGAATGGAAAAGTGGGTGAAATCGCTGAAAATCATCAAAATCATCTTGTAAATGATGCCAATACGGATTCGTCGCCAGCAGCATATACCGTGCCCGAGAAGACGAAAATTCCTTAAGGAGTGTGCCAGAAGCTCGAGTAAATTGCTAGGTCGGCTCTCGTGTTATGGCAGTTTCATTTACATATATTCCAATATGAAGCCTTGCTGTTGAGAAAGCGAGCGTAGTCCTTTTCCGCTTTATGATGCTATCCAACTACAGAGTCACAACACATGAAACCTTGAAGAAGGCGATCCCGCCGAAACGTCAGCCCAATAAAAGTTATTTGCCAACCTCGTGAGGAGCTTCAAAGAAAATATCAACAAGCTACATATGCCGAGGTTCATTCAAAGCCGTACGTGGAGACTTCTATGAAGCCTTGAAATTCGGCCATAAAAACCCAAGTATGATCCCTGTTGATCTTTCCTCAACGAACGGCCCTGGTTGCTATATGAGGTAAAAAAAAAGCTCTTGTTTTGTTTGCTATTTAGCCACTAGCGATACCGCTGAGCTGCAAAGTGGACGTTTTCGAACATCGATTCAGGAAAGGAACGATAAAGGGGCAAAACCAACAAAAATCTTCTTATTTTTCTCTCTGAACACACAAAGTCCTAACGAGTGTGGAGGTGATGGTGGAAACGATAGCAGATTTTTGAAGATATCCTTGAAGCAACAACACCGGATGAGGTCGTGTTGAAGAATCTATTCCGTAGGTGATATAGAATGCCCAGAAGTTTGACCGTTGTCGCGGGATTACGTGACTACTTGAACTCTCCCCTATGTTCTCTGCCGAGAAAGGCCAGAGCACAGACGATTAGAGAACGGTGCCTGGCTCGGCTCCAAATCCCAACCAAGAAGGTGAGAGCTCTAGGACTAAGCCTTGAAGGGAGGAGGGACTCCGTAGTGGATGAGCCAATTATATTGTGGCAAAGTTTGAATACATAAGATCACAGTAATCATAAAGCGCTGGTTAAGCGAGAGAGCGCAGGCGAGAGCGTCAAATCGAGGCGGTTTAAAGGGCTGAGTTCAAGTTGTCCGTAGACCTTTTCGCGGCTCGGAAGTGCGCGACAGTCACAAAGTGATCTGATGGGAGTGATGTGGCATCACCGATGGGATTCCTCGCGCACATCCCGTGCAATAACAACAGCGGGTAAATTACGACGGCCCAGCTAATTAACCTTTTTGGAGACGCGGGGTTCAACGTTACAGCGGCCGCGCGGGACTTCGGTGAGAATTTTTAGGGATCTTATCTAGTATATGCAGAAGAAATCTTATCGGATAAAATGGAAAAGAAAATGAATGAAAAACCTAATAATTGTTTCCGAAATGCGAGCTGAAAGGTCCTATGCGGTCGAGGACTGCAGCCCACATATGGGCTGCGTGGGCTCCAAGGTGTTAAAATACGCGCGGCTAATAAAGCTAGGAGCAAGCACGTTCAAAAAACTTGTCCGGACGCGCTCCTTCCTCATTTTGAAGGGAGGAGTGGTAATACTGATCAGTGGCTTCATCGGCAGTTTGCTTTGATTCGCTTTTCACTTCCACTCACGACAGTTCAGTAACTACAGTTTCAATAGCGACCGCCGCTAATTCATCAATTTGACCAGGGGTTGTCGTTTCAAGCGTAACTCAGGAATTTTTCCAATCCCTCTCTGCCCTTACGACTTAGCCATTACATGTATCTCTCCTGGAGAGTTCTACTTCATCGTCACCGGCATAATGAAAAGGAACAGAAACATAAACAATGTGCAGTAGATTTTTGAAAGCATTACCTCTGGCGTGATGCGACAGCTCATTGAGTAGACCACTTTGTTGCATGGCGTTGGCGTCGGCATACTCGTCAAACATCACCTAAATGGCGTCAAGCATTATTTTTTGATCAATCAAGCAAATTTGTGGCACGATTGTCTGGAGCCTTGTCCATCGCAAGAGTCACAAGAAGACCCGTGCTTGGCAAGCACCCTACCAAGAACGCGAATTCCCAGCTCGTTTCCAGAACAGCACAAAAATCAAGAATATTTGAGTAAAGGTTAGCAGGTAAGGGAGCTATGGTATCAAGATTGAAATGATTCACTCGCGCCACGAAACTCAAAGACGGTAGGAGTGCGCCGAAGTGGGTGTGGCTGGAACGGAAACCTCCATATCGTTGATACCCAGTGTGGCGCAGTCATTACGCTATGGGACCAAATTTATAAAAAAAACCTTTTTGGTAATTTCAATCTTCCTCATATTGAACACCTCCTCGAAAGCCGACACCCGTTCGAATGCCACGACGCCCGTGTTCGTTGCGATTGCTACCTGAACAACACGATCTATAATCTGCTTCAATACGATTAAATTTGTTGTCTTTCAAAAATGCAGTACAAAACATAAGACGGACCCTGTCTCCATTTGGTAGTGGTTGAGAAATAGCAGCCGACTGCTTTCGGCTAGCGAATTAGATCGTTCTCAGCGATACCTCTAGCCAATGTTGCTTATAGATGATTTAGTCAGCAAAATGCACTTCGATGAAAGCCATCGTAACCACTAGGGAATCATCGCAGATGTTGGCCATTTTTCGCCACGCGCATCTCAATTTCTGATAATTGATCAGCTCGATATATACTTTAGTGATTCAGTATGTACCATGAAAAAAAGCCTGCTTAAAATACAGCAAGGCTAGAAGCCCCCGAGCAGCTAGCAATTTAAACTCTTCTTGGGTTCAAGCATTGGGCACTCTGCATCGATGGTTATTGACTGTGAGTACAAATCGGATAACTTCAGAACAATTATATGCAAACATTACAGAGAAGATAAAAAAGTACTGATTCAAAAACAAGCTCGCAGCTTCTTAAGCATTGAAACGTCAAGCACGCTGTGAACCGCTTTTACAACCCCTATTTGGAAATGGGGCGTAGCTCGTTTATAATTTATAGATTCGGTGTCTTCATACTCACGGGCTTCACGTCGTCCGACTGGTGAATCAAACCCCTGCAATCATGCAGGTAAATGTCAGAATTTGTTCAGCGGATTCATCTGCGGTCGCGTGCTTGAGAGCTACGGCGGACAGCGACTGGTTCTCACGGTATTCCTTTCCGCTCCTTCGTGACCGAACGGCTTTGACGACGCCGTTATGCATGCGCACTTCTTTCTTTTCACAATTTTTTTTTTTTGATCAGCTAATTATCACTTCTCCGAAAATTCTATTATTAATAATTAGCGCATTCTTCGACAATGTGTATGGGTATTTTTGAAACATAAAAAATGCCAAAGTAAACCACGAAAAACGGGTCGTCACCGAGCGAAAGTGTGGCCCACTGGCGGACCACACGATCGTTCGAGGGCTATTATCTCATTTCTTCCCTCTGGTGTAATTTATTCTCATACACACCATTACTTTAGTAGAACTTCTTTTCTCGGTATTGCTAAGTCATTCTAGTACGTAAGGGAAGTTTGAATTTATGATCACAGCTGATGGGGCTCTTTATAAGCACAATCGGCTCGCTGGATCAGTTGCGCGCTCCCAGATGCCTATACAATGAGAGGATGCTGTGAGACAAGAAGCCATCTTACAGGAAGAGCTAGCAGTAGTTTCTCTCGCCAAACGCCATCAACGTGACTACGAGGCCGACGCGGGAAAGCGTCCCAGTTTGCGCACCTCTGGGGAACGTGTGCGCGCGGTAACGCGCCTCCCATAATCGTCCTCTTTCTGCGCTTCTGCGTATTAAAGGACGAATTTACGATGGAAAAGCAACCCATTCCAAATTGAGGTAGAGATGGTGAGTAGTACCAGAAAGAAAGCGAAACCACGAAAAACGGCCCAGAACCGGAGAAATGGGACCCCTTCCTTGTCCGTTGATTTGAGCATTGATGGACTCTCATCGCTTTGCCCTCTTCAACCCTACGCTCTCTCAGCTATCTAATCACTCGCCACCTATTGTACTACGGCGAGTGATCAGACGATCGGTGGGCGGAGATCGCCGAACTCGCCAACTTTGAGCCATGCTAGATCTCAGAGGTCAAATCTTTCGATGCCGATTGCGTGTCTGTCCGCACCCTCAAGAGATTCACCGCTCTCCCCACTAGGCGATTTCTCCCTTCTTCGACCTTCGTTCTTTCCGTGCAATCCTCCTTTAATCTGAAGTCTTTGTATAATTTCGTATAGGCACGAACATTAGATACATTATAAACACCATGGCTCACAAAAAGGACAATATGATTTGGGACCGGCAAGAGTTTCAGACCTTACGGATATGTCTGTTCAGTTCATTCCTCGTTTTCTTTTCCAACGTAAACATGTTGATAAAAAGGAATAACAGAAGCGAATACAAACCTATTCGTATGGGAAGATATGTGTTTTTACTGAAACAACCACGTCCAAATTAATTTTGGAACCACTAAAGGGAAAGTAAGTAAAATTTGCCTTTTCATGGCCTTAACACGTCATTTTCGGTCAAACTTCCATTACTGTAACTCTGACAAGCTAGACAGCACTTCGACAGCCATGGTCTACGGTAGTTGCACGACTTCAATGTACGAAACAAAGTGGTATGGGTGGTGTTGTTCAAGTCGTGCGTAGTGTGGCGGCGTTCGCTGGACCTCCCCGCCGAGTGCTTTTAGTGCATTCACCCCTTAACTTACCATGACGGTTTTGCTCTTCGTGCAATACCTACCTTTACTTTATCAAGTTGAAAGGATAATGTAGAAGTTGACAATTCGAAAAAAATTTATAAAGAATCTCGACGGTGCATAGACTATACCACGTTGACAGTTAATGGGCCCTATGAAAAGCGTTTGACTTTCTGCATCGTGATACTATCCGCACCCACGGCCACACCTTGCAAACGACTTACGCCTCAGCCATTGGATTGATGATTCTACATTATATAGAATATTATGAAATTATGTTCGTGTCATATAAGATCTTTATTAGTATTGTTTGCTTATGACAGCAAATCGATTGTTTTGCTAGTTGTGTTAAATAGTTTCCAAAGTTCTCATAGGAACAGAGAGCCCTTCTATCTTTCCCGTAACTTTCTTTATTTCCCATTTTCCATTTTACCTTTCGCTTCCTTTGCGGAAATGCGAAGCAAATGTGAAGGCAAAGAGGTGACAAAGCCTCAATATGAATATTGCTGCTCTACATTCCTGCAGGTCCCATTACGGAAGGCTTATATGCCACTGCACTCTGAGAATTTCTCTGCGCTATTCAGTATTCTTACCGGCTTTCCAGGATTTCAGTGGTGAAAACAACTATTTAATAAGTGGAATAAGCCGCAAGAACTAAGGACATTTCTATCGCCATAAGCTTCCCGACAGATTAGTTTCGGCGAACACTATCAAAAACATAGCGAGTGTGACATCAAGCTACTTGATCATCCTAGTGCGTCTCAAGCTGCTTAAAGGCAAGGTGAACATCGGGGCTATCACATCCAAAACAGGTAGCAGGTGCTATACTAGAAGGAAGGCGAGGATGGTTAGGCATGACAAATTGGGGGTGGATTGGAAAAATCTAAGGAGGGCCTGTTTCGGTGTGCTTGATCTGAAAACGTATTTTTTTATTAATTGTAGAAACCCATGTAGAGCGCACAAAACCATGTTTCACTCTCGTTGAACGGCTTCTAGCAGTACCAAAAAGAAGTACAAGGACTGGCAAGGGTTCGATCCCGGCGTCTAATTTTTGCATGAGGGCTTCGCTCACGTTTGATGTCAATGGTGCAATGTCAAGAATCAGTTTTCCTAGTTATAGAGTATTTATGAAGCCAAATGCCAGCCTTGATGCAAATTTAGTTCACTGCGTTGGGAATCGAATCTCATGGGACACGGGCATCGATCATTGGAGTCAGTGCATTCATGCTTTTTGGTACCATTAAAACTGTTCACTTCTTTTCTCTGAAGAAGTAGTAGTATTCAGTACGAAGACGTGCTCAAAACCCTACTCAATATCGAAGTTCTCGTCCAGCACACCATCTTTGTGTAGCTGCTTTCTGGAAATCTCGAGAATTTTCTCGCCATTTTTCATGTAGCCGACTGCACCAATATGTCCGACACGAACCTAATAAGAACGATACACGGTCTGACGATTCGCAAATCTTAACTAACGATAGTGTGTTCTGACTTGAACACTATTAATGGTCTCAGATTTTTTGATGTTTTTTTTTTTGATTATTTACAATGAAACTTTTGGAATCGTTGACAAGCGAGACCTCACATTCTCCACGTAGCAAAATGATGATTTCGTTAGGCTGTCGGAAGAGTCTATGGCCATTTGCTGATTTTTTTTCAAAATCACTTTCTTTTCACAGTTAAATTTACAATATGCCGTAGCATAATTGTCAACATATTGCTTTTTGCAGGGAACTGCAAATGCCTTATCAAATATCGGAGCCTTCAGCGGGCAAAATCTTTGAAGAAGCTCCGAGTATGCCAGGTTTGGCATCATCTACATAGCTCCAATTCTTAGTTGATTTGCAGCAACGAAATCAAAGACGGGAGTCTGCTTATGGTGTAGGTCTGCTTGAGCACACGATGCAGCAGACAAAACCCCAATTTAGGGATGTGGAGATTTTGCTGGACCTTCTCAAAAATTTTTGAGCAGGTTGCCTGGATAAAATAGACTTGTCAATGTTTTCCAAGCATAGTGCCGGCGGACCCATCCATTTGCTCATATTATCACTCAACAAAACTAGTGCAGTTCCTCGGGGAAGTAGCGCACATGACAATCGTTAGGCAGCCACAATCTAAAGGTTTCCTTTCAGGGGTTGCAGCGCTGGGAATCGGCACTGCGAATCCCTTGGTGATACCTTCTGAGACCGCTGGCTCGTGTGTTCACCAACATAAAGCAGTTGGGTCAAGATAAGCAAGCAACGGCTAGACAAAAACATTCATGAAATTTGCCAGCCTCTGAAGGTAGGTTTTCATCTAAATCCACGAAATTTCCTTTTGCTCATAATTTCCTTCTGTTTCAAGAGAATAATTGAGGGAAGGCGGGGTTTGATTATGTTTGTTGGCAATTTTGTTTCACATCCCACGTCTTGTGAAACTTGGCAAGGCGAACGCAGCCATGAAAACATGCACTGAAATTTGGTGCCCCGTAGCGTACTGTAACCACTTGCCTGTTAAACAATGTTGCGGCATTCGAGTCCCGTCTGAGCGGAAGATTGTTCAAAAGCCACATGTCTTTGATAAGTCACTCGTATCCATTTTTATGGCTTCTCAATCGGAAAAGAATCACGCAATTTTTCTGTAGATGAATCGCGCAATGTCACGCAAAACACTTCATGGTTATAGGCAATGACGTACATGTAGGTCTCAATCGTACGTTGAACAGGATCAACTAGTCGGGTGCAGGGGGGTATCGTATTTCGCGGTGGGTTGTATGTTACAGGAATGGAAGTGATGATGCAGTTGGTTGGCGCGCTACACGCCCCCCCCCCCCCTAGAAAATGGAGGAGTAGTGGAGGCAGAGGTGGAAAATAGGGAAAATGAAGGGAAAGTGTGGGAAATTTTCTACGGTTTCGTGGTAGATATATGCCCCCATGATGGCGATGGCAGCGAGGGTGGTGAAGGTTGAACTTGAGGGGAGGGGGGTCGTATCGAGGCCTCTGGAAGGGGAAGGGGGGTCGTAAAACCTTCGAATTCGGTCCAATGTGACGGTTGACCCTGCGTACATGTAGATACAACCCGTAATAACGGCGTAATAGCGATATATGCTGATTACGAAAACGACATTCATTTTTAGATTGTTGCCATCTGGCGCCAGTTGGCGTCACCTTGTCACGACCCTTGTTTTCACCAAAATCGGTGTAAACTTCTGTATAGGGGTTATTTGGTGCCCTGATTACGAATATGACATTCGTTTTTGGCATTAACGTTGTTCAACGCATATTTCTCGGTTGGAGAGCGCAGACGAGCAGAAAATAGGCGCCAAATAGCGCCAGCGCCGAGAATGAATGTCATATTCGTAATCAGGACACCAAATAACCCGTATACGAGGGTTTGCACAGAAGTTGGCGCTAACTGGCGCCAGATGGCGCCACCGCTAAAAATGAATGTCGTTTTCGTAATCAGCATATCGAATTACCCCTATGGGCAAGTTACGGTTGTCTCTAGATGTACGCAAGTGCACTGCACCAGCGGAGGTGTTTTTACGTGATATCGGCGCGGGCTTATCTACCGGAAATTAGGGTACTTAGTTGCCTTGCTATGCTTTGCCTAAGAAGATCCAACGCGCATGGAAATGTTAGCCTACTCGTATCGTGCTCTGTGAAGCACTCGAGCTAGACGAATTAAAATTTGATGGATTGAACAAGCCGAAAAAAGTAAGGGCAAAATGTGGGGGTACAGTATCGCCCCAATTCACACGATCGGTGAGTAACTTGCCTCACGTGACTACCTGGCCCCTTTCGATCCCATTATCACCAGCAAATTGCCGAAAAACATTTTTGCAGACAAGTGGGCGCTTTCCATTTTGGTAGAGACAGGAAAGGCAATAGGAGAGGAACCATACTGAGAGGGAAGATAGATTGAAGAAATATTAATAAGTCTGCGAAAATGAAACAAAGTTTACTTCTTATAAAGGTCTGGAAATCAAAACGCTTGCCTTGACAGCTGTACTATTAGCTTCACTGTATTCAAAATACAGAAGAAACGTGAGAATCGGGTAATACAGACGTAGACGCATGTCTGGTGAGAAGCTGGCCTTAGGCATCTAGATCGGTGAATTTAAGCATTTTTTCCAGTGACGACTAAAACCGTCGAATACGGTATTAGCCGTCACTAAGCCCCGGGATTAGACAGCACTGGGCAATCAGTTAATGGACTACAACAACAAACTTCTAACAACCTTGCCTGTACTGATCAAACTACACACTGCTGCCGTGTTTTTCATGAATCCATGCGGCGCACGCATCAGTGAAAGCAGTAGTCAGGGGCCTAAGAAAGAGAGATGTAATTTTTTCATTTCCAAAGGCGAGCTAGCGCTAGTTCAGCGCACCGGCGCTCCAATCCTTCCTGAGCTCCGCCTCCGTCGCCTGTACTCCGCCTTCTGTGTGCATTAGAGAGATTAACAAAGTCCGGTGAATGACCGCAACCGTAACACGTGACTGGTTGGCGCGCAACGCCACGTGTCATCGATTTGCATTCGACGTGCCCTTTTGTCGTTTTTCTGCGCACTCCACGGCGACAGAATGGGCGTGATAGAACCTGGCTCTTGTACGGAGCGTCCATGCTGGTATATAG